CCCCAAAACCCCAAAACCCCAAAACCCCAAAACCCCAAAACCCCTGAAGTATGCCAGAAAGTTGATGATTATGAGATAATATTAATAAAAATAACAAAAATGGACCCAAAAGGACCCCTACAGCCTAAGAATGAACCTACTACTATTAAGAATGGTGTGGTTGAAAGTGTTTTTAAGTTCTCAAAAGCCATTTTCAATGCCAGAAAAGTTGCTGAGAAAATATCTCAAGTGTTTCCATCGATTATGTGAGAAGAGGAGAACTGCTTTAAAAATGGGGAATTGATAGAGCAGCATAAGTTCAAATGCCATAATCATCAGCAGGAATACTCTAACATTAACATATCAGTCAATGAAGCTTATAAAGCACATCTAAAAAGAGTCAATGAGATTGAGCAGGTCTTTGTCAAAGTAGAAATCATGTTTGCTTTCATGAAATCTGAAGGTGTCATCTCAGAAATTAGCAAACCTGACGTAAAGAGTATGAACGATTTGTACGAGAAAATAGTAGATGTACTCAATGTAGCAGAGATCAAAGCAGAAGGTCTAAGGAAAGACTGAAGATGACAAGATTTCGATTTCCTTGAAGATGCTATCAACAAGTCTTCAAAAATGAAAGATGAAATACATGCAATATTCTCTCCATATTTAGTCTCTGTTCTTGAAAATAGAGCATTTGACCATCTCACAGGAAATGCTGATGAAAAGGCCAAGGAATCTAAAGAAGAAGACTTCTCACCAATATTTGAAACTTTGATAGATAATGAGTACGAGTTCTGAACGCTTTTAATGCATCCCAAACTAGAGCTCAAAGATAAGATAAAGGAAGTTATAGAAGAGAAAAAGACTAAGGGTACAAAAGAAAGGGCTTCAATATTAGTTGGACTGCATCAGTCTAAAGGACTATATGAGCTCCAAATCCAGCACGCTAGGGATGAAAATCTTAGACTTCAAAGAGAGAAAGAGCAATGCCAAATGAAACTTGTACAAATGGTCAAAAAACTTGAAGAGTGAGTACTTTGCAAATTTTTGGTTATTATTAAAAATAAGACCTTTTATTTCCTTTCAAAATATTTTATCGAGTTTTTTGTGCAGAAATATCAATCCATAACTCTAAGCTAATAAAACTTCGTGAAAAGACTCAATATAAGAATTAGAGTTTAGTTGTACAGTTACTGTTACAAATATTTCTTGAGATGAATCTGATTCTAAAGCAGAATCACTAAACATATATTATCGATTGTTTTCTAATCTTATTATTAGAAATGGTGTTACACATTGAAAGAGAGAAGATATCTACTCAAGCAAAGGAAGTAAGTCCTATCATCTTCTATTCTCACTTTCCATAGTTTCAAATGTACCTATTAAAGCAGACATTGACTTCTTCCTCAAAGAGATGGGAACGGATAAGTTAATTATGAATGGAAGTAGAACTCTTTCAGGCCCTTCTGTTGATCTCAAAACTTTAATATAAACATGAGCATCAAAGAAGAAGATGACGAAGATATCTCCAGCAGTAGTCATGAAAGCTACTACTTCGATGAAGATAGTGAAGAAGAACCTGAACAAGACACTCACAAATCTCACAACAACAAGAAGGATCATGACAATAGCAATGAGGAACAAAGATTTACATCAGCAGATGCCAGCACAAAGGGTGAACAAGATAAGACAAGCAAGATCAACAAAGAAACTGGAAAGAATAGTCAGGATAGAAGACATGAAGAAGGGGAGAAGTCTAGATGAGCTCAAGAGGAAGAGCTCCCTGAGAAAGAAGTGAAGAAAAATGTAACTGAGGGAAATGAAGGAAATCAAGATAATGAAAAACTATTGGAAAATGGTGAAGACACTCCTTTGCAGATAATTAAAGATATTCCAAGTGAAGAAATGGATAAAATGAAATCAAACGATAAGCAAGCTCAAGATAGTAGAGAAGAAACAAAGAATTCTGAAGAAACAAGTCACAGTGAATCTGATTCCAAATCTTCTGATGAATCAGATTCCCAGATAATTAATACTACTAACCAAGTTTCTAAAACTCCCGATTCCTCAGAAAAGATTTCTAACAAGAAGTTAACCAAGAAAGAAGAGGAAGATAGAATTTCTTTTGGTAGAGATGATGAAAAGCCAAACACATTAACCATCGGAGAACATCCCCATATTGAAGTCCCACAGGATCTTGAACAGATAGCAGAAAGGCCATCCTTCCAAGCTGCAGATTATGACATGTTTAAGAACACAATGGGATTAGATACCAAGAATGCTAGGGTTACTCATGAGACACCTCGATTCACTCTCAACTCGAGGTTTGCATTTGATAAGTTAAAGATAGAGAAAAGTGATATTGAAGAACAAAAGACATTTCTGAGGCTTGTTCAAAAATTAGTAAATCAGAAATATACTAAATTCAATAAAACCATGGTATTTACAATTTCTCTAAACTTATTTAGATTCTCAGCCTTGACATCACCAAAGCAAATCATTGCCAGTTTATTTCCAGCTGCGATGAACAGAGAGTACCAGAGTTTAAAGGAATCTACATTGGTTATAAAGTAAATCCTAATAAGAGACATGACTATGACAAAAGTTTCATAATGATGCACAAACATAAAGAGGCGAAGTTTAAAATCTTTAAAAGAGGAATGAGGAATTTGTTGAACCAAAGCCTTTCTCATGTCTATTTAGACCTCTTCATTCTTGGTAAAATGCGACTCTAATTTTGTAGACAACATGGCCATGAAGATAGTTATAGAAGGGTGCTGTAATGCAAAGAAGCTAACACTCAGAGGATGTGAAGTTCATATAAACCGTAGTTTCAGTGTTAAATTATCGATCCGATATCGCCTTGAGGACATTAATTTATTTGGAACTTTGGATTATAGTGATGAAAACTATATGAATGAGGTCAAGCTCAAAATATTTGCCTTAGTTCTTGCAACTACAAATATTAGAAACACTCTCAGTATTGCAAGAGTAGCAGAAAACATGTTTCCTACTAGGATTGCTCAACAGATTTTCAATGAGTAATCTTGATTCTTGTTTCTAATTTTTATAGGTCTAAATTCAATTTGGAGGTAGTGGGAGAGCACAAGATTCAGAGAGGATTAGAATAGCCAAAATACCTCCACATTATACAAATACTATTAATTATGCATCGGAAGGGGTTTTGGGGTTTTGGGGTTTTGGGGTTTTGGGGTTTTGGGG